CCAAGGGGCGGTGGCTGCTCTGGCAGATGTTCGCCAAGATGTATTGCAGTCTGGCCGGGATGTCTTCCGGCACAGACAGAGGTAATGAATTTTTCCTACTTATGTGTGGTCAGACACAGGTGGACACAATTCATTTCAAAATAGATGCCTCTTTATCCTGACAATTCCTGACATAAGGCAGTTGTTAGATTGTGTAAACAAGAGACAAACCACTGCTGTCTCACTGAAACCTGAATTGGTGGCAGCCTAACAGAGGGGATTGCTGATCTAGCCTGGATGCCTCATGACGAAAATTACAGGTATCCCAGGTCTTTTTTGGATTTTACAGCAAAACAACTGCTGAACCTGTGTTCACTGAAAAAGAACATGTCTTTATGGCCAAGACAGAGGAACTTCTGCTGCCATCTTCCCCAGTTCAAGCTGAATACAGTGCCATCTTTGTGCTTTCTTCTTGTAGAAGTTCCCATTTCAAATGAAGCAAAACTAACGTCTTATCTACACATGCTGTTTACAGGTCTGTGAGTAGTTGTTGCCAGAACCGTGGTTTTGGTCCTGTTGTACACATTCATTCTGCATTCGATGTTGCTGTTCTCCCCACTCCACTCACTACTATGTCGGCAGATGCAGTGTTGTGTGCTGTTAATCAGATGATGCATCCTACCATGTAAATGGAGGAATTCTGGTGATAATGAGTGGAAATTATCCATGTACAGAAGGAATGTGTAATTCTGAAAGCACATTTAACACTTGCAAAAGGTGCAATGTGGATTATAATAGTAATGACATTTAAATGGAGGCCAGATGGCTGTCTTTTGAGGGTTTCATTTACACAGCTGAAGGTCATCTGCCCATGTTATATTGGCTTAAGGGTGTACCCATGAAACAGGGTGGAAATGAGGTTGAAATTGTTTTTTTGTTTTTGTTTTTTTTGTGTTTTTTTTTTTTAATTATCTTTTATTAAATGTTAAAGATTTCTCTTGCAAAGATATTGGGTCAGGAGTTCATAAGAGAAAAACAGTCTTTATTCTGTTTGCAAATTCTGCTCTTTTCCTTGCGTTTACAGAGCTTTTCTGGTTCTCTAGTCACAGAATTAAGGATGAATGCATTGCCTTCTTTTCACATCAGTCTTTAATATTCAGACCAGTTATCTGACCTGAATGTCTGGGGTGGGGAGCAGAACAAACCCCACCACAATTCAGGTAGAAACATTTAGAGACCTGCTATTCCACTTGGACTGTCAGAAGTTCATGATGCCAGGTGGGATCCACTCAAGAGTTCTGAGGGAGCTGGCAGATGTGGTTGCCCAGTTGATTATTAGCAGTCCTGGTCAACTGGAGAGGTCCCAGATGACTGGAGTCTTACTAATGGGATGCCCATCTATAAGGGTCATGAGGAGGATCTGGGGAACTATAGACCTGTCAGCCTGACCTTGGTGCCAGGAAAGGTTATGCAAGGATCATCTGGATCATCTTGAGTGCAGTCTCACACCATGTGCAGGACAACCTGGGGACCACACCCAGCCAGCATGGGTTCATGAAAGGCAAATCCTGCCTGACCAAACTCATCTCCTTCTGTGACCAGGTGACCCACTTTGTGAATGAGGGAAGGGCTGTAGATGTAGTCTACTAGACTTCAGCAAAGCCTTTGACACTGTTTCCCACAGTATTCTCCTGGAGAAGCTGCAGCCCATGGCCTGGACAGGTGTACTCTTTGCTGGGTAAAGACTGGTTAGATGGCTGGGCCCAGAGAATGGTGGTGAATGGAGTTACATCCAGCTGGTGACCGGTCACTAAAGGCTTGGGGCAGAGTGGCTGGAAGGCTGTGTGGAGGGAGAGGACCCGTGGGTGTTGGTGGTAGGCGAACAGTTGGACTAGATGATCTTCAACCCTAATTATAGAATCAGAGAACTTCTCAGGTCAGAAAAAAACCCTCAAGATCAAGTCCAACCTCAACCTAACCATACTACCCTAACTTTAAAAACCCACCTCTAAATCCTAATGATACTATGATTCTGTGAGTTTAAAAGGGGGGGTTCTGTTTGTCTTTGTTTCTCTCTCCCCAAGATGACGAAGTAGAGCTCCCTGTGAGAAAGCTTTTTTAGAAGGAAGTTTTCTAGCTGTTCCCTCCTTCCTGCCTTTAGCTTTCTTCCCTTCCTCCTTGGAGACCAAAAGAATTTCTGCCCCCTACTATATGAGGCATCACTCATTCTGTGATTGTTAATTCCAGAAATAGCAGTATGGATGAGGAGATTGAAACCCCCTATTGGAGTGTTCGGGCACTGGTGCAGCAGTATGAAGGGCAGCATAACATCCCTTTGGAGTCCCAGTCCTCCAGGTAAGGAACTTTATTGCCAAGTCATGACCTGTCACATTCATTTGTCAGGCACTGCCTAAAATGCCCTTTGTTATTGTGATGGAAAAAATGTGGAGGAAAGGAACTTAAACCAAGCAAACATTCCACATTACCTGTGGAAATAGAAGTGAGGGGCATGTGGATTTGAACAGCAGTTAGAGAAACACACAGTCTTTAATCCAGTCTGGCAGTCCCTGGAAGATCTACAGCTGTCTTCATTGCCACCATGTCCTCATCCAGCAGCTTCTATTGTTTTTAGATTTACAGTTATCTCTATTACCCTTCCATCCTCCAGGCTTTCACTTTCAATCTAAAATGCAACACTTAATTATTTGGCTGAAAAATCTCCTGCATCCTGCTTTGATGCCTCAAAAGTCAGAGTTCACTACGGTTTCCATTGGAGTTGGCTTTGCTCTTTAAAGTAGGACTTGGATCTTGAGAAGTATGTGTTCTGTGCTATAAACAGCTTTCAGTTTCTTCACTGCACAAGTTAAGCAGGGCCAAACTGGGGGAAGTGGAAGGCTTACTGAAAAATAGTCTGCAAAAGCCAGGATTGGTTAAAATGGCATCATGTAACACATTTCCAGTATGAGGTGGTATAACTTGCAGTTGTGAATCTGGGCAGTATGTGCCAGTCACAACACACACACTCGTGCCTTACAAGCTCTTCTCACTCCTCTTTGCTTTGGGGAATAACTCAGAACTCTGCCCCCATGTACTTCAGCAGGGAGGGGGAAGGGAGAACATGTGTCCATGTTTATTTTAATGGATATAGGAGAGACACTGTAGAGAAGAAAAACTGTATTATGGTGGGGGAGCTGATTTACTGTGGGTAGATTCCTAGTAAAGCACATCCTTTCTCTTTTTCCCTAGATAACAAGAAACTAGCTTGCACACTGACTGAACATATTAGGTTTTCCTCTGGGTACAATGCTCTGCTCCATTTAAGCTCTTCTGGAGCACACTAGGAGCTGTGTGGGCACGGTTGCAGCTCTTTGATTCACACTTTCCTTTCCCCCACTGTAAGCCCCAACTCAATTTCATTGATTCTCTGTCTTGCCAGGGCCACTCCCTGAGAATGTCTCAGCTGGGCTCTCGTTTACCCTTTTTGTGCAGGTGTGAGGAGGTTCATTTTCTTAGGACTGATTGCCACTAACAGTTTCTCAGGATACAGGATTTCTCAGCTCCATACTATAAAGAGGCCTCTGAATACCTGAGCATTAGGATCACTTGTCCAACAGAGAAGAAGGAAAGAAAAACTAAAAACAAAACCAAAAACAACACAACCATTTGTACTTCTGCTCAAAATTTGTTGTGTGTTAATGTGAGGTCTGCTTTAAACATAGGCATACATATTTGAATGGGTGTGGAAACTCCCTGTGAGCCAGTGCCTCCACATGATGTCAGTAGAGAGTGTACATTGAAGTTGTTGTTCCGGGGGAGATAAAAAAAAAAAATTCTGGTCCAGGACACAGCATTTCATGGTTAATGTCACAAGACTTTGATGTTAATTCTTGAATTCAGTAGGATAGTGACTGAACTATGCTACTGTTCATTTTAAGATAGCCATATTTTTCAAGTACTCTCCTGTTCTGTTAGGCAGGCGTTGTTGGACAACAGCCATTTGTGGCTGTATTTTGTTGTTGTGAAACTGTGTACACATCCTACATTGCTTTGCTTTTTCTCTGCAGTGCCAAGAGTTCTTTTGCCAACAGTAATGGTGACATTGTTGCTGATAGGGCATAACATGCTGAGAGCCTTTATGACATCACTGACTTCCAAAATTTACTGTGGATTCAGAAAATGTTGTGCTATGCAGATGAAAATCTGAAACAAACTGTCTAGCTTTTTTAGTGAGAATTTTTGCATTTTTTTAGTCTGTTTTTGTTTGGAACTTTTAAAACTGTTTTCAGGAGAAAAAGTAGCACATCTCTACACTGTGGAGCATAGTGCATCTTGTAGGCATTGTAAATGTGAGCTGATGTGCGCGGATAAAGGCCTGGGGCCAAAATAGTGAGGGCTGATGTGTTTGGCAAAGCTTTAGAGTGGTCTAATTCTGGAAACGCTATGTGATGCTTGGAAAGAAATAAGGAAAAAAAGCACAGAAACACTCTTTGCATTGGCAAATTTCATTAATAGGAGCTGCTTATCTGGAGTTTAAAATCTTGAAACTACCCAAAATTGTTCTCAGTGATCAGTCTGTGCTCATTTATCTGTGCATAAGGAGCTGAAGGGGGGCCTGAGCCTTTGCAGGCTGCCCAGTGTTTTTCTTATCCTACAGTTCTGCTAATCCTGTGCTGTGGGATGCACAGAGAGCTACTGGCAGCTCATCGGGAAGTGATCAGAGATTGGATCAAGCTGGGGCTAAAACAATTTTAATTAAAACTGGGAATATGCTGCAATATGTAATTAAATTTTAATCACAGTATCTACAGAATAGCAATATTCCCTAGCTATCATGTGGATTTTTGTTACCTCAGGGATGAGGGTCAGAATCTGTGCTGTGTTTATCAGCTAGGAGACAGGCTGGAAGAGAGATGTGAGTGCTGGGGTCTCTCTGTCGCCAAAGGGCAAGACCGTATCTTTGAGGGCTGCTGACAAAGCACAGGCAGGACGATGCCTTTGACTTTTTTTTTTTTTTTTTTTTTTTTATGCAAGACCCCAGCATAGATCCAAGCTGCCAGATAGGAAAACTTTTTACTGTAGCCTCCAGTACTGCCAGCTACAGAACTTGTGTGTGAGCAAGGAGAAAGCAGATTGGGACTCATCCGATGCCGTTCACCAGAGGCACAGCAATTACAAACACACAGGTTGGCTGCTGAATTGCGAGAGGAACTGCCAAGTGGGGAAGGATCTATTTATACCAAGTCTTATGAAATCAGGAATGTATATATATTGCTCTGTTACAGGGCACCAGTCACTGCCTGGTAGCTCAGAAATAAGGGTCAGCAGCAGTGAAACTCTGTATCTTGTTTTGATGTGTTGATGCTCACAATGACAGTGCTTTCTTCTAGCTCTAGTCAGCGATGTGCCCAAAGAAAATAGGAGCAATGTGACCTCTGGCTCCTGGCAATGTCTTCTGCTGGCAGCAGGTTCTGTGGTGAAAGTTAGATTCTCGTTTCTTTTCTCTTACAGAGGAATTTCTGAGCTTAGCTTTGTGAACTAGCTGAGAAACAAGCCATTGTGTTAGTGAGATGAGGTCTGTACCAGCAGCCACCCCCTCCTAAATAATTGTGCTGCTGCTGAGCCTGTCCCAGGGCAGCACTTCCTCTCCATATCAGCTAATTTCTGCATTAACTCTTCAGGGAGTTTGCAGCCGGAATGTCAGAATTCCCAGAGACAAGATATCTAATAACCGTATGTAATAGCAATGATTCATGGAAATTTTACCAAAACCAAGCTGATTCCCAGGCCACCGAGCCCCTCGCGCATCCCTCCTCCTCTTCCCTCCCTTTCCACCAGCCCTCCCTCCCCCTCCCTGAAGCAGGCATCTCGGAGAAAGGCTCTTCCTCGCACAGCCGTGTGACAGCAGGAGGGAGAGAGAGCTGGAGCCAGCGAGGAAAAGGAGCCGTGCGCACGGCTGGGAAGGGCTGCATGCCGTCTTCTGAGCCAGCATCCGAGTCTGGAGGGAACCCACTGCTTGCAGGGGCACCTTCTCTTGGCTGTTCGCTGGCATCTGCAGCAGGTGCCTGGAGTCTGAAGAGGGCAGAATGGGATGAGAAACGCCACTGGCGATCCAGATCAGTCTTGTGATGCAAACAACTGGGTGTGCAGCTGACCAAAATGCAGCAGCAAGAGACAAATAACCCGGGAGGAAAATCAGCAAAAGCAAAACCCAGGCAGCAGAATTTCCTGACTCTGCAATCAAATCCCTGCACAGGGGCTGCTGATCTGCCATCAGACGGTTTCTTGCAAAGACCCTGAGGTTTTTTGTTTTTTTTGGCTCTGAATATTTCAGCTAACGTGAAGCAGTCTGGCTTGCAAATATTTCTCCAGTAGTTTGACAGGAGCTGGCATCTTCTGCACTGAATTCTGAGCATGTGAAGGAACGAGGCATGTCTGTAGCCCGAATCCTGAGGCTTCCCAGGAAACGGATTCTGTGAGGCGAAAGGTTAAAGTGGGATCATGGGAGGGAAGCAGGTCAAATGGTGAGCGAGCGATTGTTGCCATTGTCATTTGAAACCGCGGGGGTGGAGTGTTTATTAAAATTGTGGGAGTTCAAGCTTATCACTGGGGCTGTTTCCCTGAAGCCTGGGCTGTGCAGACACTGACATCTCTGGGACTCAGCAAGGATATGTGGGTTAAGAATCCAAGAGGTGGTAAAAGGAATAAAGTGGAACAGTTTGCATCATAAAACTGAAATAGCTTTAATTTCCCAGAGTGTATTTCTGCATGCTTTGATCATGAATTATGATATACTTTTAAGAGAAAATCGTGTAAGTGGATATTTTGTGCTCTAAGTGACTTGGCCACTGATAGAAAAAGCGTAGTGATGTTTTCAACATTAACTCATTGATGGCATAATGAATGGGACCACCTGACCTCTGCTACTGCTTCATCAGGCATCTGCGCACATTTCAGTGTCACTTTCACTGTTTGACATGGTTTTAGAATTTGTTTCTGGTGCCATGTGAACTCACTGGCCTCTTAAAATAAGGAAGCTGCCGAGAAGGCGGACTGTGGACATAGGAATGTCTAAGTGATGATCTGTAATAATATATGGTGTGAAAACCTGTAGTGACAGTTCAGCCTATCCTTGCCCCAGCTGGGGGCCTTTGTATTTCATTTGAGCTGTGGATCCAGTTCTGAGAGGGGTGGACTTGGGGAGAGGGGGAATGTTATTTCCATGTTCTGCATCCTCTTGTTTTTTATATCCTGCATGTTCTGTTCACTTTTCCTTCCAGTTCTCTGCTCATACCTCAGTTTTGCCACCTTCTCATCCAGTAGTTGCTAATACTGTTTTTCTTGGATGTCTCTCATCATTTTTAGCATGGATGAAAACCAGCAGTGTGCTTCCTAGTGGCCATATCAGGATGATGGCACATTCAGAGTCTCAGTGGAGAGGAGAAATGAAGATCTCTGGCTCATAAGAAAAAAAAATTTTCAGATACTGGACATGTTAGATCATCTGAGCTCCTGCTTTGTGCTTGTGCTATTTGAAAGCTCCACCTATGATCCTTATTGTGTAACGCAAAACCAGCTATACTTACTGGGCTCTCAAACAATTATTTGTGTTGTGTCACCATTCAGTGACAAGCAGTAGCAAGCAAATGGTTGAAAATGTTATATATAAAATGTGTCTAATTAAGGACTGCTGTAATGCACTTAGTCTTCCTGAAGGTAAACCCTTGGGCAAAGTCAAGTGGCCTGGAGCCCTTAAACAACCACATACCCTGTTTGAGCAGGACAGAACAGGCACCGTGACTGTTAGAGATCCCCATTAGACAGTGATTATTTTTTCACTTATTAAATTGCCTTCATCTCTTCCCTTAATGTGGTGAAAGCCACTCTTTTTAGACCTTTAAAAGTAGGTTGTTTATAGGTCTGTAGTGTAAATGAAAAATAAGTCAGCACTAACTCTGGGCATGGATGAGACAGAGCTGCTAGCAAGTAGTTTTCATCTGTGTTGCAAGGCTTTTCTGATTCTGGGAGAGCTGTGGAATATGTAACAGCAGTGCTGGGAAGATGCAGAAGCCAAGCTGCTGGAGTGTCTTATTTTTCTGAACCTGTTCTATTACTTCCACATTGTTTCCCTTTTGTTCTCTGTGCTTTGTTTCTATGTTGAGGAGAATGAAAAATTAACTCCTGCTTACACTTGCAAGGATTAGTTCCTGAGACTTGGGAGGTATGTTGAATGGGTCAGTGAGCTTCAGCCACCTTTTGATGTTGTCTGGGTGATGCATTTCAGAAGAATTTCTGAGAAAAGGTTGAGTGTTTGGACCTCACAGTCAGCTGAGATGGCTCCAGTGAAGCTATTTAGGTACTTTCAAGATCTTTAAACCAGAGATGTCCTGGATGAGTGGTATCTAACATTTAAAAATATTTTGCCTTTTGAATTTCAAGTTTGTTTTCTGATTGCATTGATGCTTTTAAAGCCCAGAAATGAGACATGAAGAAAGGTAAGGTAGCTGTTTGTTTAGCTTGCAGTATGCAAGACTTGCTATAAATTGCTTCTGAGCAGACCTTTAGTAGATTGTGGTGTTACCTCTGTGTGAGTTATGTGCCTGCTTTAGTTTGCTGATGACTTCCCTGTCTGTTATGCAGAAAATTCTCTTAACAAGATTTCCTGCATATTTGCTTCTAGCTCAGATGAGAGTGGTGTTGATCAGTGCACTGAAATAACTGTTTCTTGTTTCCTCTGCAGTCTTACATCACCCAGTCCTGTCCATAGCACGAAGAGCGAATCCACTGTAACCCAGTCAGAGGTGAAAGCAGGATTTGTGATTATCCACAGTGAGGAAGCAGAAACTAAAACAGGTAGTTTGCTGATAGTGCTTAACAGCTCCCACTTTTATTGGGATTTATTTGCATCTGTTTGCTGAAAAGTTCACCAGAGACTGAAATGAATATAGAGAGAGAATGAATTCACTGCAGAGAATGGGATGCTGGGCAACTTCACATAAAGCAAAATCTCAAAAACTTTTAAGAATCACAGAGAATCACAGAGTGGCCAGGGTTGGAAGGGACCTCAAGGATCATGAATCTCCAATCCCCCTGCCACATGCAGGGCCACCAACCTCCACATTTAATACTAGACCAAACACTGGAACCTTCCTGGTGCATCTCTAACATGACAAGACACTCACCCAGTGTGCTCACTCACCTCTCATATTGTACAGTTTCCATTACAGCTGAAGGTATACTACGTATTTATCAACTCTGTTACCTCAAACACCTTGCCAAAAGTCATCATATCCCTGCCCTCATGGTGGTGAGAGTGCAGGAGACAGCAATACCATAAAGACCCACACTGAGCCACCATCACTGTGCAGAAACCATGTCCCCTCCCTCCACTCTGCTGCCATGCAGACACCCAGCCTGTCAGCTCAGACACAAACTGCTTGTCTTCCCATGAGTTCTCACTCTGGGTCAGCTACCCCAGAGTTAGCCAGGGGCAAAGGAGGTAAATGGACAATAGATATCAGGCTAGTCCAAATAAAGAAATTTAACAGTACAGTGGTGCCATTAATATGACAACGTTTGTGAGGGCTTGCTAACCGATACTTAGAAAACAAAATGCTCTGGAGAAAGTTTAAGAATCACATATAACTTTCACTGTAGGATGAATGCTTTAATCACAGTATCATTAGGCTGTGTTGAGAGAAAAAATAAAATTCCTAGGGACACAGTCCATGTGAACCTGTAAAGCCTATGATGCAGAACTTGACTTTGTGGAGGAGTCTGTGTTTACAGTGCATCTACACATAGGTTGAGTGACTCTTTGAAAAGAGTTGAAGTATTGTTGTGGTATTTGCATTGAAGTTATTGCTGTATTTCCACAAATGCCCTGTGATATGATCAGTTTACACTTGAAATTTTCATACAGATTGAAGGAAATGCTTTCAAATAAGTTTCTAAAGTGACTTTTTTTTTCCTTTCCAGGAATGCAGCTTAATAATAGCTCTTTCTGTTAGCTTCTGTCCCAAGAACAAATGGCAGAAGCTCTCCTAGGAAATACTTTGCTGCTTCAGCCAGTATAGTCTACTTCAGTGCTTTTCTAGAAGTATTTGATGACTACCTCAGCAGGTGGATTAGCTGGCAGGCCATGGCAGGTTCTTCATTAAATTCTTAGCAGCACTCTATGTACTTGCTGCCTGCTCAGTTGGATACTGCAGCTGTGTGCCTGCTGATGCACAGCAGCTTGAGCTGACTGGTTTCATCTTTGGTCAACTAAGTAGCAACTAAGTAGTCATCAAACCTCACCAGGTACAGCAAAGTTAATGGAGGGGAAGGATACCGATAATCTTTGATGCAGGCATATTCAGGAAAGTTTCCTTTGCGTGAAGAATGAGGAATGAATCCTTGAAACAGACAGGATGTCTCATCTGTAGCAACTTCCTTGATGCCAGTTTGTATGTGATTGACATTGTGGACAGCAGGCAATTACAGTGTTGTGCAAGTCTTTTCTATCTATGTAATGGCCACATTCAGTTGTTCTTTCTTCCAGAAGAGATAGAATCTCACTTCCAGCCTGAATGGCAAGCAGGGAACCCAGGGTCATGTTTGGAAAATTCATGGGAGGACCAGCTATTGGAACAACAGGATCATTTGGAAAAGGAAATGGAGGAAGCAAAGAAGATGATTTCAGGTTTGCAGGTAATAGATATTCTTCTCAGCCAGCTTTTTCATACACATTCACTTTCTTTCCATCAGCTGTAGCTGGAATGTAAATTATCTTGCAGCTGAGTCTGGAACTTGAGAGCTGAGGAAGAGTCCTGGCCCAGGGAGGTCTCCTGGGACAATTGTCAGGAAGTCAGTTGGTTAGTGGGGATGGTGGCTCTTCCCTGTGTCTCTGACCTCCATATGTGCTATTGCCATGCAAAGCACATACGTTACTATGCAGAATGGTAAAGATGCAGTAGTGTTTTCCCCAGAGGCTGAGGTTCCCAGTCTTCACCAGGGCACTTATCAGCCTGCAGGTTTTGTTAGCAGTCTGGAAGAATAGAGCAGTCTTTCTGTGACTTGTGATCAGAAGTAATGCAGAGAGGCAAGAAATTTTACAACTTTCTGAAGGGGGGTTGTGATGAAAAAGGGTCTGGCCTCTTCTCCCAGGCAAATAGTAGGACCCGAGGAAATGGCCAGAAGTTGTACCAGAGAAAGTTTAGGTTGGACATTAGGAGAAACTTTTTCCCTCGGAGGGTGGTCAGGCACTGGAATGGCTGCCCAGAGAGGTGGTGGAGTCACTGTCCCTGGCAGTGTTCAAGAGGCACCTGGATGAGGAGCTACGAGATATGGTTTAGTAGCTTGTGGTACTAATAGGAATGGGAAGGCATTTGGACTAGATGATCTTATAGGTCGTTTCCAACCTTGTGATTCTATGATTCTATGAAATGTTGAGAAATCAATCAAGATTCACAGATTGATCAAGGGTCACATAGGTTGCATCAGTCTTTCAGTGAACTGGGCTGAACTATAATGTTTAACACACTCCTTTTCAGCCAATGACTATTTATCTGGAGGACCTTTTTCTCACTGCCCTGTTCCAGTCCCTCTCTGACCAAATGACCCTCAGCACAATGTGTTTGTGTGATTCTGTGTCAGGAATAGAGCCTCTGTTCCATATGGTAAAGACCCTGAACTCTCTCAGGAATATTCCTTTCTGTTTGTGCTGGGAACCATACTGGCTTTGAATTGTAAATATTTATGTGCCAGTAAACAAAGCAGAGATTGTCTGAAAAGCATAGGCAGCCGGGAGGGCGCTCTCCCTGTGGACAATGGGCAGGACACAAAAGACTCCAAAAGAAAATATATGCTCATGCACTGGTAAAATCCAGTTGCATTATGTGCCCACTGGGAGCAGGGAGAGATAGCACAGGAAGGACTGGCATGTCCAGTCCTTCCATCCCTGGCCCCACGTCTCGGGAGTGAGGGTGAGCAGCTGGCACTGCTGCTCCCTTATTGTCTAGGAGTAGGAAGAGGCAGCTGATATTGCTAGCCAAGAAATTGATTTAATTGATTATTCTCCCTCCCCCTCCCTCCTTCTCCCCTCCTCCCTTCAATATTTTAGAGCCACCAGTAAAGTTTGACTGAGATACCAGGGACCAGATCTATGCATGCCCCATAAGGAGCTAAAGCCATGACAGCTTTTTATGTTCCTATGTGATTCTTGCTTCAGTGTCCTGCTGGGCAGACTTTGGGTTGCACTCGGGGAACGGTTTCCCAAAGAGCCTTTGCATTAACTGAATGCAGATTGCTGGCTGTTTGCTATTCAGCAGCAGTTACAGCCCTCCGGGAGAAGATTCTGCCAGTAGGCAGAACCTGGCCCATCAGCCTTGAGTCTTTTGGAGCTCAACTGGAGTATTGCTGCAAATCAGGTATTTTGTTTGTAGCTATAGAGCTGAAATAGAAATAAAATAGAAAAGTAATTTAAGGAAAAAAAAAAAGGCATTAATTTAAATTGCTGACTGGTGCAACATCCTGGCATGTCTTTGAGTCCTAGAAGCTTGAGACAGAAAGGTCAATGTAAAAAACACCAGCTAGAGTAAACCAGTCCTGCCAGTCACACTTCCTGCAATACAGGATTATCCATCCTTCAGGCTGGATTCAGTTCACTGTGGAGATTCTAGCGTCTTCTTGCAGACATGGCCTACTTGGATCTGCTGAAGGAGTTAATGCTTTGTTTCTAGAAACTGTTGATATGTCTGACCGTTAGCCAGGCCTGTAGTTAACCTGTTTTTCCTTTAAGAACCTCTGAAGAGTTTTTCTTTTCCTTCATCCTCTCAGGCTTTACTGCTCAGTGGATCTTTACCTGAGGATGAGCAGGAAGGGTCCTTTGAACTTTGTGAACATGGAGCCTGCCCAGAAGAGCAGCTGGTAAGCACACTGTTGTACTTAGGTTTCTCTAACTGAACAACCCTAGGTAATGTTCTGCCGCAGGCAGGTGTTTTACACAGTAATAATCATGGGTTTTTGTGTTCAGATCATAATTCGAAGTCGTCTGGACCAGAGTGTGGAAGAAAATCAAGACCTAAAGGTTAGAGGAATTGATTTTCTTTTTTTCTCTCATGCTTATAATAACAGGGGCTTAAGGAGCTGCTTATTTGATTTGCCATGTGGGAAAAGGAGAACAGACTTGGGTTGAATCTGAACGGGTGAAAAGATGCAATTTAATCAAATTCTTTTGGATTTACAGAAGGAACTGTCGAAATACAAACAAGAAGCTCGAAACCTACAGGGGATAAAGGTAAGGAAAGGGACATTTCATTAAATATGAACATTAAAGCTCTGGAGTTTGCTGCAGCCCATGAGTAGGAGTAGGGCAGTCAGCAACCATACACTTCTGTGGAATCTAGGAGAACGGAAGTAGCTGTATTAGGGCAGATGGAGGTAGAGTATCCTATGCTCTATTTCTGGTTCTTGGGAGAGACTACAGTTGAGACAGGCACTAGGAGTGAGGCATCCTGGGTTCTGCTTCTGTCTTCAGGGTTGGAGTAGGCACAGTAGGATTGGCCAAACAAACTCTTGACAAGAGGCAAAACAGCATAGGGGGTATCCTTTCCTCTTCGGCTGCAGCATTTTTCACCTTTTTGGCTTGTTTTGCTCAGTTTCTCCCTTTAGAGTTATGAACACTCATAATCTGCTCCTGAGCAGAGGTATTTTAGAGCTGCTTGTCAGCTTTCTGTGAAGGAAGACAGCAGCACCTATCCAAGGTGGAGCTCTCGGTTTCTGGGTAATACTGAGTTAGAAATTACAGAATTAGTACTGACTGTGGCCTCTTCAGAGAGGATTTCATTGCACAATTAGATCATACTGAGAATTTGTTTCCTTGTGTACCTCCCTGACATTGGCCTCTTACTACCCTCTGGCTGCTGCAGTTGTGTGGCTGGAGAAACCAGCTGTAGACTGCTGTAAACACCCTCCAAAGACACTGCTGGTTTTTTTCCATAAGGGAGAATTGTCAGGACACTTCTGAAGCAGAAACTTCAGGAAGAAGCAATCACTCTGTCACAAACATCTAAACCATTAACAGGGAAGTCGTCACTGGGCAAGAGCAAGGCAGAAGGGCTCTGGGAGGCTGTTGGAGCAGATGTCTGTATGTCTTCTGCTCTCTCAGGCCTTTAACAACATTTGAGTCTAGCCTATAAGGCCTAGATCACATCTAGATCACTTTCCATGGAAAGGTCTCTGCCTTTGTCTTGCACTTACCTATCGATGTCTTTTCCTAGGATGCTCTACAGCAGAGGCTGGCTCAACAGGATGCTTCAGTTCTTCAGCTAAAGCAGGAACTGCTGAGAGCAAACATGGACAGGGAAGAGTTGCACAATCAGAATGTGAGTCACTGTGCTGCTGCTGCTGAGATTATTTTAGAAAGAAAGAGCTTGGCAGCCCTGGGAATTCCAGCAGCCAAAGGATGGGGTTTGTGATTGCAGCATAGTTTTTGAGGTCATGGGATAGTGAAAGACCAGTCAAAGGTCTGTGCAGTAAACACTGCAGACTCTACTAGCCAGCTGCGGAGTTCCCCGTTCCTAACCCCCCACTTCCTGTACTCAAAGGCCTTCAGCTGAAACGAAGAGATTCCCATGATGTTTTCAGTACAGTTGCACTGTTCCTTCCTTAAACTGCTCCCTGCATTCACAAGTAGCACGTTGACAGGTGGAGCTCCAACATAGTGTCTGCCTGAAGACAGAAGTGCCCTCTTCAAAAGCTTGCTGCCCTGGAAAGCAGACTAGCTCCCTCAAACCTTGCCTCCTGTTAGCACAAGGCACAAAGAGCTTGTTGCTAACTCTTCCGGAATATAGACTTCACAACTAATTGTTTTTTCTATAGGTTGATCTTCAGAGGAAGGTTGAAGAGAGAAACAGGCTACTGGCAGAATACAAAGTAATGGAACCTCTCTCTTTACTGGGGGCTTTGCTGGGGACAGTAACTGGTGGTTCTCCTGTGAATGTGACTGCTCTCTCCCTGGCACTCATTCGCCTCATGGAATGGCATTGTGGGCAGTGAATGAGTTTCAATAGCCATGCATGTTTGCTATGAGAAGGAGGGATCAGATAATTCTTGTGTTCCACCCCAAACTCATTTTCATAGTGGATCTTTCATTGTCTTGCTCTTGGCTTGCTGAATATCTAATGTGCAGAAGCCAGGTTAGAGTCTGTCACTTGATTGCCTACTGATCCCTCATCAGTCTGTTTTCTCTGCATCAGTTGTCTGGCCTCAGTCGTGGGCCCTGACTGGTCAAGGGGGCTCCAGGCAACAATAATGTGACTAACCTTTTCAAACAAGGCTTTGATACTTGGATCTAAAGTCTAGCTAAAAGGATACAGACTGTGTAGGTCAAGCTGTAGAGCAGCCTTGTCTTGGCAGAGTACATATTCCTGCCATAATGATGATTGTGAGCCTTACCATGCTTTGATTCCCGTTACAGAAGGAACTGGGCCAGAAGGATCGACATTTACAGCAGCATCAAACCAAACTGGATGAAATGCTTAGGCAACTTTCTGAGGCCAGTTACCAGCAGGTGTGGAGCCAGGTGGGCTGCTGATGTCCTAAGAGCTGGTACTTACCCTTAGTGGCTCATTTTGTGCTGGTTCTTCTGTTCCTTTTACAGGTGGATTTGGAGCGGGAGCTGGAGCACAAAGAGGCCCTGCTAGCTCACTGCATGAAGAGAGAAGCTGAAGAGGTAAGGGAAGCAGAAGCATTGGTTGGCACATCAGTCTGTTGGACTCGTGTTTCCATTCAGCACTCTCTAGCTGCCTGTCTTCAGAAATCATATGCATCCCAGAGAGGCCAAGCTCAATATAGTCTAATTGACTGTGCCCTGAGCAAGGCAGACTTACTCCACAAAGCATCCATCTTACCACAGCTCTCAGCAGTGAGCTCTGGCACAGCTTCTAGTGTCAAAATCATAAGGGATGAAACAGTGAGGAGAGCACAGGATTAAGTGGAAGCCAGAGGCTCCTGGATTCTAGCTTCAATTCTAATGCAGGCTAGCAGCTAGGCCAGGACTTACCTTCTTATCTCTTCCTCTTCCTGGTGACACAGCTATTGAGAACTTGGAACTGTTTTGGTGGAAAGAACACCAGCCCCAATATCTGTCAGCACCTGCACAGTGATCTCTAGAGTTTATAAGAGTCCTCTGTGGCAGTGAGAAGGCATTTCCTGTATCTGCCTGTGTTTCTTCACCCACACGTGAGAAACCACATTTGTGTTCTGGCCTGTAGGACTGCCTCCACGATCCTTAAGTGAATGCATTTACCTTCTAGAAAGTAAATAAATCTTTTTCACTTTGAAGTTGGCAAACTGAGATCTATAGGGAATTCCTAACACTTATATTCCTGGCGTCACATGCATCTTCCACTGAACAGGTGATGGCATATAGCAGTCACAATGCTCAGAGCAATGGCTTCCTCCAGACAGCAGGAAAAGGAGCTGCTCCCACAGCCCACCGAGGGGTAAGTGTATGAAGGGATGTTTTCCCAGCCAGATTGAGGTGAGGGCCCCATGTGTCCTGGAATCTGTTAAGGGCTATATCTCCTTTCTAAGACCTGTGGCTTTAGATGGGAAGAAAGCAGCCTGGAGATAATCTGATTAACTTTTGGTCTCTTGGCAAGACAAATGACTTGCAGCTTGTTCGTGATGCACTTCGTAGCCTGAGGAACAGTTTTAGTGGCCATGATCCACAGCACCACACTATTGACAGCCTGGAGCAGGGCATATCTAGTCTGATAGAACGGTTACACCGCATGGAAACACAGAAGAGGCAAGAGAGAAGGGTAAAGGTTTCCTACTTCTTGTCTCTTAATTTCTGCCCTTGACGCAGAACCTTGAACTAAACTACCACTTCCCAACTGGGAAGTAACACTTCATTTTCACTCTTTTGGTTTCATATCCTAGATCCGGGGGAAGTCACCAGCAAGCAGAGCAACAAATGAGTGTAGAGACTCCTGGCCTCCAAATTCCAGTAAGTGTCTTTCAATTCCTCTTCTTTCTGAATTCATTCCTCAGATTTCCTGGGCAAAGTCTGGGATGCAGCATCTCCTTGGGAATCTGCCACTTGTTCTGCCCTTTACCAAAGCTCACTATCCTCACTTTGGTTGCTTGGCGTTCAGGCAAAGGAAGGAGGTCAGAGACAGTCTATAGCAGCTTGTTTCTAAAGCACCATTACACTGTGAAATGTCTGAACCAGTTACCCATGGGATGAGTTGGAAATGTAATGTTATTTCATCTTTCCTGCTGGTTTGCACCATCTAGTGGACACATAACTGTACAGATGCCTATCCCCTGTTTCCCCTGTAGTGTCTGGCTCCTTTCATGTATGCAGAATAGCACAATTTCTGACATCATGTTTTGTGGCTTCAGCTGCAGCAGTTGCAGATCCACATTTGCTTTTCATTGTAAAGGCTGTTTGTTTCAAACTTTGGTTATAAGTGTTTTCTGGGAAGTCTGTGAGGGAGGTGGTAGAGGTTTCCAGGTACTGGGGAAAGGCAGAGGCCACTTTTCAGCTGCATTGCAGCATCCAGCAACAGGGTAGCCTGCATGTACAGGATGTGGAGAAAAGCAGGACAGATACTCAGAAGTCTGAAGGGGAGGCTGGAAAGGATTTGTTGGGTTCTCCCTCTTGTATAAACTGCAGATTTTAGGGTCTCTACATATGTACCGTACCTCTCCCTTTTTCATTAAGCCTCAGCAGGCTTCAACCCCTGTGCTGTAGCAGGAAAATTGTGTTTTGCAGCCACAAACCTAGAATCTCTCAGGTGTAAAGAGTTCTAAGAGATGGCTCCAAACATCTGTTAGAAAACCTATAACTTGGTGTCTGTACTGTTTTCTGCATGCTGAGAGTTAAAATTGTAGAGTTCCTCAGTGTGAAGCTTCAGCTATCAGCACAGCACATTGAAAGGGTAGGGGAAACTAGGCAGTATCCAGCGGGGAGAGAAACACAGGTGAGCAAAGAAAAATATGTGCACAAACACTCATCCTGACCAAGCTGAATGGACAGATGGGGAAGAGATAGGTAATCTTTTCCCTTAATGATGGTGATCACCTGCTCTACCCATCTGCAAGTGAAGGCAAGTGGTACTGTAGTTTGCCTAGACAGTAGGATGGATGACTCTTCAGTACCTTCTCTTACCTTCTCTTCCAGAAGTGTTTTCCTGTCATTGCCTGTGGAGTAGGTGGTAAGCAGCAAGTTGCTAAATAGGTAGGAGTCCTGGAGGGCACTGGTAGGAAAATCTTATAAGCTAACACATTTGAATTTATTGTTACCTTAAAATCCAAAGCTTTTCATTAAGCAGAGGAATACCTGCTCCTTTCCAGGGATAGCCACTTCTGTAAGAATCTCATCCCACCTGGAGATTCTTTGCTCTTGATGGCAAGTTTTATGCTGAGAGCACCTCTTGTCTCCTGTTGTGGTGTGAGACAGATTGTTCTCCAACTACTGTGTTCTGGGCTCTTTTCTTTGCAGAACTGCCTCATTCTCACAGCACACCTGTGATGAGTACCAGTGCCTGCACCAAAGTGCTGTACTTCACTGACCGTTCCCTCACACCCTTCATGGTCAACATACCAAAGAGGTGAGATTTAGTTTTGCCTGGCTTTGACTTGGGAGGTACTTGTTTCCTTGAAAACATTAGTCTGATCTCTTCTGGGTATGGTCACCACTAACACAGGTTCCCTTTAATTTAGGCACTGGTTTTTATACCACTAACGGAGGAGAATTGCCTAAAGCAGTTCCCTAGCTGATTTGTTTTAGAACCCTAGGAATTTTTTTGTTTTTTAATTAACTTCAAACAGAAGGTATCCAAACAGTTCTATTCTGGCATATAGCACAGGACTCCTGTGCCAAAAAACACATCAGTCAATGCAGAGGGGAAAGGGAGAAAGGCTGTTTTGAGGTGATTCCTAGAAAATTCAGAGGAAATTCTTCCTCTGAAGAGAACCTTGGGTTGACAGGTGTATTCCTGGAGGGGCACACTCTTCATATCCCTGTGGCTGATGTTCTGAGTGCCTAGACTTGTGCTGTGGCCCTGCATGCCATACAATAACACTTGAGATAAAGCCTGCCCAGTGTACTATGGAATAGTGTCAGACTCTTTTTGCAGGTTAGGGGAAGTGACTCTAAAGGATTTTAAGGTAGCTATTGATCGTGAAGGAACCCACCGGTACCACTTCAAAGCCCTGGATCCAGAGTTTGGCACAGTCAAAGAGGAGGTAGGTGTGGAATTTAACTGTTGGCCAATGCTGTGTTCAGTGTTGTGACACAGCCCTGGAGACCTTGGTCACATCACTTCTAAACTAAAAAAAATCTGTCTCCAAACAGACTGCCAGTTTCCACAATTGTAGGTTAAGCTCCTCTTCTGAGAAGCTAAAAATGGGATGTTTTCATCCTCAGCCAGAGCAATGATACAAACGTGATTGCTTGTCTGGGGTTTCCAGAGCCCTATAGACAAAGGCTATTGGCAAAACACAGGCTACACTTCTGGCTTTATGAAATCTGTTGCAACATTTATTTTAAAAACATCCTCCTACATCATTTTAAAGGTCTTTCAGAGGTGGCTGTGTTTATGTGGCATCTTTTCCTTTGTGTGCTAAATTATAGCCATTTGAGCTTAAGCTGGTGTTGGTATGGATTGGATTCATTAAAGGTTATTGAGGGTAGTTTCTGTTTCACAAATTGATGAAGACAAGTGGAAAGGGCTATCTTCCCTTGGGAACAGTCAGCTGACTAGTTAGCCATTCTGCAGAAACAGATGAGAATTGTATTCTGATGGATAAGAAGAGGCATGTTTCCTGTGTTTATTTTACTTTTTCTGATAACAAATAATCATGACTGTTAAGGTTGAAGAAGGAGCCAGATCTAGTTTTCAACTTAAAATCTGAAAACATTGAGATGTGTGTCAATGTTGGGTGAGGTGTATGTTATCTGAACTGTGTCGGAGAATTGTAACTAGGATCTCTGACTTGATGCCTGCCTCTAATGCTATTCATATGTGGGAGAGCAGTGACCAGACTTCAGATGTGACTGGACTCTTTTTTCATAGGTATTCCAGGATGATGACATCATTCCTGGTTGGGAGGGGAAAATTGTGGCCTGGGTGGAAGAAGACCATGGGGAGAATTAATCAACCTTTTAGGTCTTGTCACTATGGAAACCTGTGACTGGCTGCTGAGCTCAGAGAATGACCAAAAAGCATGTGTGCTGGAAGGAGTCCAACTCAAGCTGCCAAGAGAAAGGGTTTCTCTGCAAACAACGGGTAATGCATGTTGTGTGCATGGATGCCTGGCATGGACACCTGACTTTCTGTGGCCAAATACAGACAGCGTCGTGGGACTGAAACAGTTATCTGTGGGAAAGAAACACCTTGCTTTTTCCTGTCAACTAAACCCTAGAAGCCTTAATGATGCATTTTTCCTTTCCCCTGCTTCTCAATTCCTGCTGTATGTGCTGCAGTCTGTGAGCTGGGCATCTCAACTCTGGTTTGTTGTATACAGTATTGCATAAATCTACTCTGAAGGCAAAAATGTGAAGCTTTGCCTTTGTGAGTCTGAAGAAAGGCTAGATTGTGCAACCAGAAGGTTTGGCCAGCCTTGGTCTTGAACTTGCTTGTGTTGCAGGAGCAGAGTGAATTTTGTGGACAGTCAGACTGAGCGGACCTGGGAAAGGAAGACAGTCTTCTGGAGGTTTCATGCATGATCTGAAGCAAAGATCATCAGCTTGGCAAAGCTCCCTTTCTCCCAAATTCAGGCTTCCGGTTCCTAGCCCTGCTTCACCCACTTGTCCTCCAAAGATGTACTTCTGAGGTCTTCTGGGTTTGTTTTGTTGCCATGGGGACTGTGGGGTCTTGGTACTTGCTTTTCTGCTGAAAGTTTTCGTTTTGGGAGGCAGGAACTGGAATCAGCTGCTTCCCCAAGGTACTTTTAGCCCCTCCCCCCTCCTTGTTGAAACCCCTGTCTCTGCACTCCTGCTGCCTCCTCTCAGCACACCAACTGATTGTCACTACCTGTGCACGGGCATCACTATGCTACTGTCTGCTGATTGCCAGAGCCACCAAACATAAATACACTTATAGGACAAGTCCTATCAGTAGCACCATTTCTTTGCTATGCCTATCGCTGGGGTTTCTGGAGGAGCAGGAATTGAATGGCTGATTGAGAGGGTATGAGCCCTGAGATCCCTGAGGCTTTTGTGGAGTTTGTTTTGTCTTTCGTTTGTTCTTTTTTTCCCCTGCTTTGCCTCTCTCTGTCCTGCTGCTGCCTGTCAGCTGTATTTGCACAGCACTGGCTCTGGTCTGCAGCAGACACTGTTGACTTAAAAGTTCAAATGGAAGGTCAAGGCTCTGCTCATTCTCAGTCTGTGTGGCCCTTTCACGGACTGCCCGCATGTCTGTACCGTGCATGAAGCTGGAAGAGGGTGAACCTGGTTTTACTGTTTTATATTAACGTGTCCTTTTGTAAATATGTTACTGTTCGGAATTATTTTGTACCAGTTTACATTGTCTGAGGACTGTGGATATTTTTATACCAGTGCAAGTGCTTTCTGTATATTTCTGCACGCATTATACGGTGTTTTACTCTCTAGTGGATGCTGAGATGTTTTGTATGGTCTTCTGTTCACACAACACTGGGTTTGACTCTATTTTACTTCGGAAATCCAACTAGTCCCTATTGGATTTTATGTTTTGCCAGCTTGTACAGGCAGTAAGAACGCTATTTCTTCCCTCACTGCTTCACTGTCTAGGAAAGAACTCAAGGATTTTACAAGGCCCTGTGCCAGTCTGGCACAAGACAGCACGCCTGCTGTGCTGTATGATTTGTTGGGGTGACTTTTTCTTTACAGACAGAAGTTAGTATCAGTAGAAGAGCTCATCAGTGGGCAAGTTCATCAGTGGCTGCAGGGCAGGGGAACACATCTTGCTTGGAAAAGAAGGATTTTCTTCCTCCCTGGAAATAGTTTTCTGTTGCATGATCTTTAGTGGGTTGTTAAAGACAGCATGGGATATTGGAATCAATCGTTGCATTTCAATTGCAGGTTTTTTTTTTTTCTCAAGTGTTTCTTCAAGTTTTGTGCATTGATTCTATTTCAGCAAGAGCCACACACCCAGGATAGGATTTTATGGAAACAATTTTCAAGGTCTGTAGTTGCCAGTTCCAGTGGCCAGTGTTGTTTGGTTGTGGAGCTATTATCAGAGCTTCTAGTGGATTCCTTGCCCGATAGGCATCCAGTGTTCCTGTGGGAAAAGACAGATGTTAGCTGATAAAGGAGATGGTCAGGAGCCTCAGTCTTGTTCTTAGGGCAGTTCGGGTAACTACTTGTGGGCACATGTAACATGCTTACTGACACTCAAATTCGGCCAAATGCTTTCCAGAGCAGCAACGAGCTTCGTACTCGAGGAGGAAGACTGAATACTGTACCTTTAATCAGTACTAACATCACATGCAAGCTAGGACAAAACAGGTATTACCTGAGACAGAACTGATGGCAGTGCTCTGTTCTCGAGCTCCTGGACGTGGCTCCCTGTGTTAGCACAGCTGGCACTGAAGCAGAAGGCCCTGCTTTGCTGCGCTCACCCCAGCAGTGCTACACTCACACGCTGCTTGTGTTCAGCTTTGTGCCACGGCACTGCAGCCCTCCCAGCTGTTTGCTGATGTTTGCTGATTTACAAGAAGGAGTTTGGAAGTGGTAATAAAGGGGCAGAGGACAAGCCCTGGGGGGGCTGCTCCTCGTTGGTAACAGCAGCAGCTGTTGTGCCGACACGAAATCGTGCTGCAGCAACTTCAGCGGGTTTATCCGTATTGCACGCAGGACTTCAATGCTGTTGGCTGGAATTGTATTTATTTCTGCCCGTCTGCCAACTTACCCACCTACTCCTATACTTTTGAACTGACACTGTGACACGTTCTATGCTAAATTATATTTTTGCAGAAGCTCGGGACGCGGCGCTCGTCATTTCCCACGCGATCGCGCACAATCGCCGCAAGGAGAGCGACGGTTCCGAACGCATGCGCACACCGCGCCGTACCGCCCTCCCCCCCAGCCCGTCCGCGCTTTACGGCAGCGCAGCAGCGTCGTGCGAGCCGTGCGGCGCCGCGCCCGGACGGAGGAGGTCACCGAGCGGCGGCGGTGCCGCGGCGGCAGCTCCGGCTCCAGCATGTGGCGGGTGTTGGCGCGGCGCGTGGCTCCGGGGGCGGCGGGATTGGCGCGGGGCTGCCGAGCGCTCGGCGCCGCCTCCGGGGTCGGTCGCGCCGCGGCGGGGGGCGGCGGGGCTCCGGGCCGCGGTCCGGCACGAAGGCGCGGCGAGCTGCTGCCGCTTCCCGCCTGGCCCCGCTTCGTGCCGTGCCGCCGCTGCAGCCTGCCGGCGCACCAGAAGGTGAGAACTGCCCGCCCGCGGGCCGCCTCGCCGCGCTCGGGGTCGCGGCCCGGGAGCCGCGGGCCTTGACCCCTCCTGCCCGCGCTCCTCGAGCCCCGCTGCCGGCGCCCGTGCCTCCCGCGGCTCCCTGGCTCGGCCCCGTCCCGCCCCGCCGGGTGGCAGCCAGGCTCTCCCTGCTGTCCCGCCCCGCTCCGGCTTCCCGCTGCCGGTGCTGCTCGTGCCCTGACGCCGCCCCTCCCCCCGCAGGTGGCTCTGCCGGCGCTGTCCCCCACCATGCAGATGGGCACCATCGCGCGCTGGGAGAAAAAGGAGGGCGACAAGATCGGTGAAGGGGATCTCATCGCAGAGGTACGCTGAGGGCTTTTACTGCTGTGCTCTCGGTTCTGTCATTGCCCAGCCTTGTCTGAGCACGTCTTCGAGTTCTTTACAGAGAGAGCGGTGAGGTGCTGGAACAGCTGTCCAGAGAGGCTGTGGATGCCCTGTCCCTGGAGGTGTTCAAGGCCAGGTTGGATGGGGCCCTGGGCAGCCTGGTCTGGTATTGAATGTGGAGGTTGGTGGCCCTGTGTGTGGCAGGGGGATTGGAGATTTGTGATCCTTGAGGTCCCTTCCAACCTTGGCCATTCTGTGATTCTTCCAGGACTGGTTGCTGGATTTGGTCTTTCTGAGCAGGAGGAGCACTCACCCTTCTGAGGCATCCTCTCCCCAGCTGGCGATTTGTGCCAGGGCTGTGTGCTCTCAAACCCTTTGCTACCGTGCTGGAGGGCTTGGAGCTCACTGGTATTTCCCTTTCCATAACAATGTCCTGTTTGCTTTCTCAAAGGTGGAGACAGACAAAGCAACAGTTGGGTTTGAGAGTTTGGAGGAATGCTACTTGGCCAAAATCCTGGTACCGGAGGGAACAAGAGATGTTCCTATTGGGGCCATAATATGCATCACAGTAGAAAAGTATGTATTTTCCTAACACTTTAGTTGAATTTTCTCTGTTGGGGCTTTGTGGGTGTCTTGTGTTAAAGGCCATGGCAATGTCATCAGACTGATTTCTTTGTTTGGTTGTTTTTAGGCCTGAACATGTTGATGCCTTTAAAAATTACATTCTGGATTCTGCAGCATCTGCTCCCCCTGCAGCCTCAGTGCCTCCCCCTCCAGCTGCAGCACCCTCACCCCCACCTCCGCCTTCTGCTCAGGCTCCTGGCAGCTCTTATCCTCCTCACATGCAGGTAAGAGACCATTAATAACCATCTAAGGTTTGTTTCACGCTGCTTCTTTTTTGGCATCATTTGCTGTAGGATGTTTTGTCATAAATACTGTTAGGAATGGGAGAGCATTAGCTATAACCACAGCAGTGCACGGCTCTCATAGTGGTGCATGCTTAAAGCAGCTGTTTGGGGTGGTCCCAGAAAGTTTTGTTGTTACGTTGATTTTTTTTATCCTAGCTCCTAGTAGGAGATACTTGTTTCTCGTGGTTGCTTGAGCAAATGAGAAAAAAGCTGCTACATTCCTATGATTTGGACAGCTCTGATATGAAAAGACCTTGTACTTAGTGTGAATGAACCCCAAGGGCTCTGCTCAGATCTCAGCAGAACCGAGAAGTCTGAGATATCTGAGCATACCAGATGTGTTTGTGAGCAACTGAAAATGAGCTGTTTTTGTGGATAATCTGTCTGCTTAGATACTGAAGTGTGCATCCATTCTTGTTCTACCTGAGCATTTTGTAGCACGGTAGTTCTGTGACATTAATTTGAAACACAAGATGTAAAATACCTCTTTTCACAGCTAAGGCACGTGGAAGCTGATTTGTCTGAGATGTTATGAAAAGTTTGTGAATGAACTGGGCTTCTTGGTCTGACTTGAATTCAGCTCCTTAACTTGGTTAATTGCTTTATCTGTCCACTTCTGTTCTAAAGCTGTTACACGTGCTGTGTTTGTTGTACATAATATATGTCTAAATCTACGGCATGTTTAAGTACTTGGTGGAAGACAAGTCTGTATAGCTGTTACAGGAACCAGGCAAGTTTGTCAGAGACAAAAACAACTTGCTGTAGCCTTCCTTTGAGCCTTACAGACAGCAGCTGCATGCTATGAATTGGGATTCTAGATTTCTTCATTTTTGCTTTTGCTTGTTTTCTTGCTATGACAAAAGAAGCCAAACTTGACATACAACTTTGCTGTAATGGAATCAGATCTAAGAGCATGTTAAAGGTTGGCTGCTTCTTTAGATTGGCATCATTTTTTTTTTTAAGTCAAGAGTTCTCAACTATGTCCCTGTTCCTTTTGAGTCACCAAAATCTGATGCGCTTGTATTTTGGCTTACAGGTTGCTCTCCCTGCTCTGTCACCCACCATGACAATGGGCACAGTGCAGAGGTGGGAAAAGAAAGTCGGGGAGAAACTGAATGAGGGAGACTTACTAGCAGAAATTGAGACAGATAAAGCCACAATAGGTGAGTCAACTCCAAAACCAAGAACAGATAAGGGAGGATCTAGAGGAGCCTCTATGACAGCTGTTCCCTAGCTGCTCAGGGCATGAAAATGGGGGGCAGTTAAAAAGTGTTTTGTTGCTCTCGTGCTGCTGCAGAGAGAACCACTGGAGCTCCCAGAAATAACTCTTTCCCTATCAATCCGTGGTAGGAATGTACAGTGCACAGAGATGTTTCCTACCTTTTACACTGAATTTTTTGTCTACTAAATACAGGACACAGCCTTAGTTACTTAAGTCTTTTGGAATTACTATTTGGTGTGACAAGCACCAAAACAATTTTGTTTCTTTCTCCTTCAGGCTTCGAAGTGCAGGAGGAAGGCTACCTGGCAAAAATATTGGTGCCTGAAGGAACAAGAGATGTGCCATTAGGAACAACCCTCTGCATCATTGTGGAGAAAGAGTCTGATATTCCTGCCTTTGCTGACTACCAAGAGACTGCAGTAACTGACATGAAGGCACAAGTTCCTCCTCCTCCTCCCCCTCCTACACCAGTAAGGACCCTTCTTAGGCAGGGAGAGAAGTTACGGGGACAATTAAGAGTCAATGGCTGGATCTGAACTGTGATGCTGGTTAGACTGTGAAGCCCTGACTCCAGTAATGTTTATGATCCTGTGAGTGCAAGGCTAACACATGCATTCGTGATAGAGATCACTTCTTAGGTCATCTAGTTGGTCCTCCAAAAACTGGAACAGTATTTGTTATAAGTGCTTCTTGACTCATTCTTACCAGTTC